GCAAAAAAGCAGGCAATTCCCGATATAGTCCTAACCGCCTACCAAAGGACTCAAAACAAATGTTAATTGATCATTCCAGTTCTTTGTTGATGGTAACCCTTTCGGACACAATCGATTGGTTCAGATTGCCCGCATATATGGTGCTTCTATTCACTCGATCAGATGATTTAAACATATGTTTGTCAGTCTTCATTGAGTAAAGTGTCTGTGAATTACTAATGGATGTATAACGTTATATACAGTCTTTTCGCGGATCTCAGTGTAATAAAACCGCTCATATTATAGACAAAACCCAGTGATAGTTATGCGATCGAAAATAATCAACATTTTTCGATCCTAATCTAGGTTGGACCGCATCACATTGAGTAGACAGGGGTACTTTTCATGCATCACAATTTTAAACTTTCATCTTTTTGAACGCCGTTGTTATATTTTGCGTATTTCGGTCGCCCTGTTCGTGGTAGTTCGATAAAGGGAGGGACCCTCGGCGTCACGGCTTTTTTCGAGGGATCACCTCTAACTTTCGCCCAGTCAAGTGCGGACATCAAGGTTTTGGTTTCAGGCGCATGATTGCTGGTGCCTCAGTAGAACCTTATTCGCGATCTCCTGGCGTGGATTCACCTAAAACATCCATGCAGCCCTGCTGATTCGGTAGCTTTCCTTCATTGCCGTTGAATACATAAATCTCAACCACCGACACCAAATAGTAACCATATTTACACGTGGCGTCTCACCGTCTCAAGCAGGTTACCGGGTTATGGCCACTTTAACCCAGAAAAGTAGTGGAATGCAACTACCGACCAGTTTCGAAGAAATAGTCCCATCTGATGACTTTTACCTAGAAAAGGTCCATTCTTGTAATCATCATTCGGTGATACACACCAGGAAGAGTGAACTCCGTTGGTAAGAAAACTAGCTTGTTTCAATGCATTATTTATTTACAAAGCGTGTGAAATTTCTTCGAAATATCTTCAAATAAATCTTTATTCCTTCTGATAGTAGCTGATCAAAAGGTTTTATCGTCAACAATTTCACAGATCCGACGTGCCATCCACCATTTTTAAAACGATCTTCATATGTTTCGTTTTTGACACAAGTTGCCATCAGTGCAAGTTTGGGGCTGCAGAGTTGTGAATCCTACTTTTTCCACTAAAATGCCTTTTCTTGTATATTTTTATTGTATTAAAACGCTTCTGGGTTCAAATTTTCTGCCAAGAACCACAATAGGATAATATTACTGATAAAAAGTCCTTGGTTTGTTACTGGGCGAAATACTGACTGGTCGCTCAAGCCAAAGTCTTCAAATAGCGAAAGTCTGACGCGCCAGACGGTGGGCCACTATCCAGTTCCTCGGTTATTGCCCTCTGGACAGAATTAAATATCCGAGATACCCAATACGCCTTGATGTCCCATCGAACCGGTGCCCACTACCACAACCAGGAAGATATGTGTGTTTCATACGTCTCTTGTAGGTTAATTTGAAATCAGGGTTGTTAACGAACTCCTGGAAGTGAACTGCCAGTGGTTCACCGACGCGAATATCGGCTTTTCGTCCTCTCACTTAGGTGGGCACACCGCCATCACGAGAACGACGGTGAGTTGGGCTGACCCCCCCCCCACAGAGATTATTTAAAACGGTCGGTCGTATAGGGGCATTCCGTGAGGTGTCCGGGAAGGATGACCAGTCTCGATCCAAAACAACCCTCTCGACCACACCGAGTCTCTCGGATGGTGCGTCTGCTATCTGGTTGCAAAGTTGTATGATATATCGATCATCCGGCTTTGCCACTCGACTTGGTCTCTCGTCACTTGGAAAACTGTAGACCTTTTTATGTACGTTGTTCTCTCAGTATGCATTCCGTCAAACTGCATTGGCGGTTTCGCACAATTGGACACTGATCAACTGTCGTACTTCTGTTTTTTGGAACTGTGAACAAGTTCTAACGAAAAGCGATTAACATATTTATGGACTGCAGTAAAAGGCAAATTGATGAACAGGCTAGTTTCCACTGCTTCATTGACTAGACAAATTCAACAAGACAAATGAAAATGAAAGTTGTTAAAGGATGAAGGAAACACGGTTATCAGGTGAGGTGGGGGTGAAAAAGGAGATCTTGTTGGTAAACAGCCATCACATAATCTATGGTTCATTGTTTGTCATTTGACGCTCGCAACACTGGTTTCTGAATTGAGTTAATTTCGGCATGGCAGTGACAACTCGAGGGGTTGGACAAGTTGTTCCAGAGTGTTAAGTCGATCAGATCGCAAGCACCGCCAGGATGGATAGTAAGTGGCCTCTGAAATTCTTTAAGCGCAACCCTTCTATTGCATAGAATGGTCGGGATGATTTTATCAAATTACCAAATTGATTGACCCCGGAAACCAATCCAGTTTTTTTCGTATTTCACCAATCAGCTACTAAACCATTTGGAGTAAAGCTTTGTAATACAATCGACCACATGCTTGTCTGTTTGATGGATGATTCACAGTAATTGTTAGGTACATTCGTATCCACCTGTCTGTACCGTACATCCACTCTATTCTTCTCATTAGAAATGTGTCAGGCACAGTTTTACGGCAAACGAATCAGTTAACAATATGCTAACTAAAAGAAGTTTTCCCGCTCATTTTACTGTATTCAATATCCGTGCGCTATCAAATCTTCCAACGGGCTGTCTCCATTAGGACCGTTGAATCCTTCATTTAGCACGCACACACGCGATTTATGATGCTAATTAGCAGACCACATTCTTCTTGCCTTCAACCATTGTCATTCTGCTCCCATATAAACGTGTTGTACTCCACTATTTGTATTTGTATAACTTGTGTAAGCATATATGCTTGCATTTCAGTTGAAAATGTACACTGTTCGTCACGCAGAATGAACTAATAATAAAAACGAAAGGTAAAGAATGTCGGTGATATTTGTTTCATGTACAAAACTTTTGACGTAGTTCATTTGAGACCTGTTCTTTTTTGGTAAGTAATCGGGCCAGGTAGGGTACAGGGGAATTTTTATAAATGTTAATGCGAGGGGGTAGCTGTTGAAATAAGGAGCGTGTGGACTGATGGGAATGACAAGACGATAGATCAGGGTGTAGTAGATGAAGAGGGTCATCTAGAATCTTATGAGCAAATAGAAAACAAGAATTGATGTAACCAACAATGAGATCTGTGATTAATAAATCAATTGGGATTAGTGATGCACGACTGATTATCACCAAACCACGGCGAACTGTTTTGAAGTCGTGTTTTAAAAGACCGGGCAACACTACAGGAGAGCAATAAAGTAGAATGGGTAAAACGCATTGATGAACGAAAGATGACAGGACTGATTGTGGGGTTCGGAATTGCCTGAGTTTGCGTAACTGAAAAGATAGGCGTCTCACTTTTCCCATACAGTTGTAAATATGAGTAGACCAATGAATATTGCTGTCGATGGTGACGCCCAGGTACTTGACTGAGGTCATTCTGGCTACAGGTTTACCGTTAAGGGTAGCGGAGTTCGTCGGAAACGCGGAGCGGGAAAGACTGAAAATACGCGCTACGCACTTAATGAAATACTAAACCGAGCTCATTTACCGCTTGACCTTTGAATGGATTGAAACAATCCAATACAGTAGCTTTGTGACCTCCCTTATTTACGCCGTCACGCAGTGAGTTTGTGTCGGTGCTATGATGAAATCAAGAAATTCTTTGTGTACTCAAAGGATGAATTTTTTTGCATTTCAAGACTTTGCACAGGGGGCTATAAACATTACGATAAAAATTATAGAAAAATAACTTAGATGTTCTAGTAAAAGAAGATAATTTCTGACGTGAGAGGTCGTTGACAATTGTCTCACGGTCAACCAAAAGCCAGGACAGGCATGGATTTTTACTGTTTCTCCAAAAGGAAGTGCCTGCAGAATGGAGTTGATATTTTAATGATGTTTCGGGAATTTGACACGGCTCGCACGATTCCGGAATACAGACATTCCTCTTGATCATATGTTATCCTTTCATTGAACCTATCACAAACACTGAAATATTTGGAAACAAACAGCTCTCTCAATTTCGCTATCGGGACAGAAGTTACAGGGATCTGGAGAATGAAATGAATTCATTTTAAACCAGGGCTAAAAACCGGAGAGTAATGAAACCAATGTGGAAGGATGTAGGCAACCACGAATGTAAGAATAAGGTTATTTATAGCGGCCAGTTTTTTCGGTCTTATATGCATAAGAGGACAATCTTTGTACCTTCGTAAAAACCCCAATAACATGAATAGTTCAGGACAGGTTATGGATGAGGATGATACCGAAGTATTCGACAAATCAAATTTTCAGATGCGCTGACCATTGACTGTAAAATGAGGTTGGTTAATTACCAGTGTACAATAACGGAAGCTGGTTTTAAAATTCAAGGGAGCATTAACGTACTTTTTGGTCTTAAGTGCAAGAAAACAAGGTATTGTCGATTTATGAAGTTCATTAAGGTTGTCCTAGAAAAGACGAAAACTGTCTGGATTAGAATATGAACAACCAATCACAATATCACCAACACATTTACAAGCACTAAAGTAACGCTGAATGGGGGAGATTCTGTTTGTAGCTAAAAAAAAGAGGACAAAACAGCACCCTGAAAATACCAGAATCGGAATGGAATACGACTCGGTGCCAATAAATGAAGTTGAACGGATACAACGATAGACGTAATCGATTTCAACATTTGGACTGTCAGACCACTTTCGACAATATATTCAGTAAGCGCAAGTTTGCTAATGATGCTGTTTGTTACACTCAGAGCGAGAATTGAAACTGGGTTAATGAATGCTTACTCCAGGGGCGATTACTTGACTCGACTTGCTTGTTCGATTAGAAGCCACACGGAACAAATTTACTTATTTGTGAAGGACTGAGAGCAACCTACATTTTAAAATTGTTGTTTAACCTTATTATATGTTCATATTCTTTATGTTTTTTTAAACAACTTTCCGTCTGACCCTAATTCATTTACAGGAAGCAGTAGCTCTGCGTAGTTGGCCCAATGATCCACGATGTATCGCTTTAGCCACGCATCAGTGTGTGATTTTGTTTGATATTCGCTGTTCCAATCCAGTCAATGTAACAGGTCGCTGTATTCACCCACCGTTATCTGTGTCTGGAGTCCGTTCCTTGAATTTCTCCGGGGACGTTTTATCTTACGGTTCGTCGAATGGACAAGTACGATTCTATGATCTANGAGCCGATAAGCACCTACCAGTACATCTGGATGTCGGTCCTGGTTGGGTGAAACCCTTTGATTGTGGCACAACTGGCGATGATAACAACAGTATATTCGATTCACTTCCATCGGCCACCGGCGACAACTGGCTTCCACAAAACCCCCCATTGTATCCATCCTGGAATACCCCTCCCCCCTCTCCGCTTCAGTCGTTTTTCCTAGCTCCGTCCCCATCTGGAAGCTTCCCCTTGCTCACTAGAACTGGTGGTTTCTTACAACAGACAAATAACTTGCGTGTGTCACTAGATCGTATCCAAACTCGTTTGGCCGGTTTGCGCGGTCGTCGCTTAGCTATGGCTAATGTTTCGCTTATATATTCCATTGCTGGTTTGCGCATGCCCAATACAGATGAAAATACTAACGAGTCCTCTGGCTCTGTATCAAATGAGGGCGCGGGTGATGGGTCACAACAGCCTTCTGTTTCCAACGGAAATCGTGACGGATCAGGTGGGACAAACGAATCAGAAGACAGGAACGAGGGACCGTTTGATGATGTTGGTTCTCCGAACGCGGAACGAACTGCGTCTAACGACTCTGGTACTCGATGGAGAGTCCAGTTAGACGGCGTGGATCGTGAAGGACGTGATTTCATCTCGATTCCGCCTATTCTGTTTGCAGACTTTGATCCGAACTCTACCTTGTCTGCTCATCGACGCCTAACAGCTGTTTATACGCATGAATATGACCCATCAGGCACACGTCTATTCACAGCTGGTGGACCTATTGCTTCTACTTGCCATGGGAATGTAGCAGTACTTTGGGAATAACCGAAAAAGTCATTCCTAATATCTTCTGCCCCTTACTTCTTGGAACAAACATGCATTCTCTTCCACAGTCTTTCTGATATATTCTCCAATAAATTATCCGTGGAACTATGTGACTTTCCGTTTTATTCTTACTGTGAGTCCCGTCGACGACAGTGTTCAACACACCCATCCAAGACGAACACAGTTTTCCATTTCTTGTAACTTGTCTCAGTCTACATTCACCTCCGTTCTGTTTGTTCTGGCCTATTCTCTATCTCCAGACAGTGATCTCTGACGACAAACCAATCTACGACTCTTGCTTCCATCGTTTTGTGGGCTTCAGATGTCATGTATAGACAATTGAATTTATCGATTTTCTCGCGTTTTCACTGTTTCTTCTTTTCTGATTTCATCCTACCAGCCTCCTTTATTCTGTCTGTCTGGCTGGATGAATGTTTTTAGAGATCGGTTTGCTCAATATTCATTGTAAATAAATATGATACAAGTTGTCAGATTTTCTTGGTTTTTCCCCATCCATCCCGAATCATCTATCTCGCATTTAAATTGTGTTTGTTGTCTTGACTTCCTGATTGATCAATTATTTAAGTATGAATCTGGTTTATGCGGATGTCATGATAACTTACTTAAGAGTAGTGAAGGATTTGATTCGATTATATGTTGTAAATTCCGTCGAGTACAGTTTTGATTAAATGTGAACTGAAAAGCTTTGAAGCACTGTAAATAATTAGGCTCGGAATGTATCTGACTGAGCTATAACCCCGGAGGCAAGTGCTGAGTTGTGCGAGGACATATGCTCGCGATAATCTTGCAGAGCTGGATTGTACCATGTTCGGTGTGGGCAGTGCGAAATGGCTTGATCGGTTGATCGATGTGCTGTACGTTTGCCTCGTGCGAGGTCCCGTGTTAGATTCTTAGTTGAGTTGGGAGATGCATAACTTTTGACGAGATCCAACAAGATCGCATTAACCGCATAGTGCTTCACTGCTTTCAACTCTTGTTCACTTTGCTCTGTAAATGGCTGACTTTACAGTGTATTGTTTTTGTTTGCCAGCGACCGGTTAAGCTCGGTTCACTGCATTTTCCCGTACAATGCTGATTAAGTTTTCCTCTTGTTCCCGATATTGCACACTTCAGTAGTATGAGTGTTATCTGACCCCCGCATATATATTTCATAAAAGTGGTGCCTTGTATAGGGCCAAAAT